CTTATTCATCATAACACAACACTGTACAACACTTATCCATCATAACACAACACTGTACAACACTTATCCATCATAACACAACACTGTGCAACTCTTATCCGCCATAACACAACACTTCATAACCCTTTTCCATCATAGCGCAACATAACACTACATTTCAAAACTCTTATCCATCATAACACAACATAACACAACACTTCAAACAACTTATCCATCATAGCACAACACTGTAAAACACTTATCCGCCATAACACATCACTTCATAACCCTTATCCATCATAGCACAACATAACACAACACTTCATAACCCTTATCCATCATAGCACAACATAACACAACACTTCATAACACTTATCCATGATAACACAACATAACACAACACTTCATAACCCTTATCCATCATGGCACAACATAACCCAACACTTCATAACCCTTATCCATCATAGCACAACATAACACTTCATAACCCTTATCCATCACAGCACAACATATCACAACACTTCATAACACTTATCCATCATAACACAACATAACACTACACTTCATAACAGTTATCCATCATAGCACAACATAACACTTCATAACCCTTATCCATCATAGCACAACATAACACTTCATAACCCTTATCCATCACAGCACAACATATCACAACACTTCATAACACTTATCCATCATAACACAACATAACACAACACTTCATAACACTTATCCATCATAGCACAACACTGTAGAACACTTATCCATCATAATACAACACTGTACAACACTTATCCATCATGACACAATGCTGTACAACACTTATCCGTCATAACACAACATAACACATCACTTCATAACACCTATCCACCATAAAAAATCATAACACAACACTTTACAACACTTATCCATCGTAACACAACACTTCATAACCCTTATCCATCATAGCACAACATAACACAACACTTCATAACCCTTATCCATCATAGCACAACATAACACAACACTTCATAACACTTATCCATCATGTCACAACATAACACAACACTTCATAACCCTTATCCATCATAGCACAACATAACACAACACTTCATAACACTTATCCATCATGGCACAACATAACCCAACACTTCATAACCCTTATCCATCATAGCACAACATAACACAGCACTTCATAACCCTTATCCATCATAGCACAACATAACACAACACTTCATAACACTTATCCATCATAACACAACATAACGCAACACTTCATAACACTTATCCATCATAGCACAACACTGTACAACACTTATCCACCATAACACAACACTTCATAACCCTTATCCATCATAAACACAACACTTCATAACACTTATCCATCATAGCACTGTACTAAGATAAGTTACCTCATTAAACATGTGGTCAATGATGATAAGGTCAAACATCTTCCTCTTGTTGTACAGCTCCATAAATATCGGAGACGCGTAAACATCGTCAATCAATTTAGGCAGGAGGGTCATGAGGTAATTGAACTCATCTGTAAAATTAAGGAGTTTTCTTTATCAGTACTCAGATTTATTTTTAACCAGTACTTATATTTTTAACCAGTACTCACTTTTATTTTCATCAGTACTCATATTTGTTTAAACCAGTATTTATATTTTTAACAGTATTAATATATATTTTTTACCAATACTCGTATTTTAACCAATACTCATTTTTTACCAGTATTACAACATAACATTAGAACATAAGAAAATAAGGAGTCTGCAATAGGCCGGTTGGCCTGTGCATGGCAGCTCCTGTCGAGAGTTACTACCACTCTCTATCATCCATGAATCTATCTAGCCTCCTTTTGAAACTTTCCAGAGTTCCCGCACTTACTACAAAGTTGCTAAGCTTGTTCCACTCGTCTACCACCCTATTTGTGAACCAGTTTCTTCCTATCTCCCTCCTAAACCTAAACTTATCCAACTTGAATCTGTTGCTCCGAGTCCTATCCTGCTCGGATATTATAAGAACTTTATCTATATCCCCTTTATTGATTCCTTTCACCCACTTAAATACTTCTATCATATCCCGCACTCTTCGTCTTTCTAGGGAATGCAAGTTAAGTTTCTTTAACCTATCCTGATATGGAAGGTTTCTAAGTCCCGGAATCATTTTTGTCATTCTTCGCTGCACCGACTCTAGTGAATTTATATCCATTCTATAATAGGGGCACCAGAACTGAACCGCATAATCGAGGTGCGGCCTAACTATAGCAAGATATAGTTGCAATAAGATCTCTGCACTCTTATTACTTACACTTCTAGATATAAAACCCAATGCTCTGTTTGCCTTATTTCGAACATTAACGCACTGTTTTCTAGGCCGTAGGTCCGGGCTTACAAGTACCCCTAGGTCTCTTTCACAAGTCGACTTCTCTAGGTTGATGTTGTTAAGGCTGTATACATTATAAGTATTTGTTCTTCCAATATTAAGTACGCTGCACTTGCTGGTGTTGAATTTCATTTGCCATTTGTTTTTTTACCAGTACTCAGATTTTTTTACCAATATTCAGATTTTTTTACCAGTATTCAGATTTTTTTACCAGTATTCAGATTTTTTATCCAGTAATCAGGTTTTTTTTAACCAGTATTCCTATTTTTTACCAGTACTCGTTTGTTTAACCAGTACTCAAATTTTTAACCAGTACTCAGATTTTTTTAAACCAGTACTTAGATTTTTTTTACGGCTTATTGTAATTTTGTTCAAAGACGATTTCCAGGTATATTGTAGAGAATTAAAATGATCAGTAACATAAACGTCGGGATTATTTTTTGGACTAGTATTTGGAATTGTTTTTCTTTTATGGTATTTTACTCTTTTAAGAATTATTATTTTAGACGATTCATGTATCATTATTACACCTGATGATCTGAGGGGTTAGGTTAGGTTAGGTTAGGTTAGATTAGATTAGGTTAGGTAGACTTAAGTTAATCTTCAAGTGATCTGTTGTTTTTGTAGTTCTCATAATGTATGATGTTTAAGATTTGCATATTGTGTTTGTAAAGTAGTCAGTACACTCAGATTAAATAAACTATGGGTATTTTACATCTGCTGTCCTAGCGTAGTGATGTGTTGACAGCATTACACACACACACACACACACACACACGTAAAGCGAATTGGAAACCGTTGGAGAAAGGACACTATTAGATACGGGTTACATGAGAGCGACTACCGCACATCCTTACCGAAATTGTCTTCAAGAATGTCGAAGGTATTTATTTTCACATCCTCCATGACGTTGATCCCGGTGTTCAACTGTGTGATGTTCCTGTCCGTAGTGAAGTTGGCGAGAGATGACAATACGTACACCTGAATTGTTAAAAGATATATAATAAAAAGTACATTAATAACTCACTGACGATATCCGATCATTTAACTGTGTTTCATGAGAGAGAATAAAAAAATAAAAAGAAATCGTTCCATAATGTTAGCGTGTGTACCTTGTGGCCTCTGTCAGCCAATCCTTCTGCTACAGGGATAAATACATTCCTGTGACTTGTTCCGGAGACTGTCAGGACTATGAGGATGTTGTAGGATCTTTCTGGAGGAGGAAGGACACTCTCGGTGACTACCACAACCACCACCATTAGTAGTAGTAGACGCATCCTGGCTTTGGCACTGAGACACATTCACACACCTGTGGAAAATTTTCTCTGCTAAAAATTTTTTGGTTCAGGTATTGTAAATGCTTGTATTAATATAACTGTTGTTGTTCACGTGAAGATTAGACCTCGGCTTATTTCACCTTAACATTAACCCTTCTAACCTAACCTAACCTAACCTAACCTAACCTAACCAAAAGCCTCCAAGTTATACCGCCAGATTCTGGGGTCACTAATTCTAAGGGGATAACTTAACTCTATTCTTAATTTTAAGGTCGCTGCCACCAGACCCTCTCTGGACAGTATGTAGCTCGTTAGGTAGCGGGCAGAGTGAACTAGGCATTGGGTTGGGTTTTTCATTGACCAAATCGATAAGGGAAAGAAAGGTGAAACAATAACATGTCTTAACTAATATATTCCTTGCTAGCGGATCGCTCTTTCCCCAGGCCACGGTAGGACGCCAACTTCCGGGAGGCTCCACATTGTCTCACTGAAGTGCATTAAGGTAGACCACATTTTTGGTTTTGCCATTAGCAACAAGTATGTACAGATTTTTGTCAGTTCCCACTCTGGATCATCCAACATAGAACTGTCCATGAGAGAAGCAAGGAAACACCAGGTTTAGGCCAACCATCTTTAGGGACTGTCCCTGGCTTTTGTAGATGGTCATGGCAAAGCTCACTTTAACCGGGAACTGAAGTCGCTTTAACTCAAATGGCAGGTCAGTGGTGATGAGAGGTATCCTTGGTATTAAAACGTCCTCTCCTTTAGCTTTTCCTGTCAGTATTGTAGCTTCCAGTACATGTGGCATCATGTTCTTCTTGTGAGCGACTCGTCTCTCATTTTGAGTATGATATCTCGTTTCTCAAACTCTTGACCGACAATCAGGATGGCTACTTCATCAACTACAGGAGCATTGAATCTTTTTTCATGCTCTCCCTTAGGGGTCGTGTCTGCTTTGATCCTGACTTTGTCCTCGTCAGAAGGCATGTTGTCCAGGGCATTTTTAAATGACTGTACATACGTGTTGCGCTCATGCAGCATTTCTTGGATAGATAGGACAATGTCATGTCTGACACCTTGAATATTGCCAAATCTGATAGTAGTCTGCTTTTCATGATCTCCCATGAAGTAGATTTGGAGGAACTTTGCCTGCTCATCTTCCAGTGGTAAGAGGGATCCTGGTTTGTGATAGACTTGACCCTGGACTTTGAATGTTGGTATGTATCCGTGCTCACGAACTACTCTGGTAGCTCCAAAGGATGTCATCTGGAAGCATGAAGTGTACTTCAGTATATTTTCCAAGAAGTGTTTTGACTCTGGTGTTGTTCCCAGCATGAGAGTCTTCAATGGTTGTGGTGGTTTTACCAAATTTGGCAGTCGTACTTTCCCATGAGAGCAGCACAGTCCAGCAGATTCTCCTTTATACTTCTTTGCACCGCAGTGTTCACATTTCTTATCCCTCTGTTGCCAATGACAACAGAGGGATACTTTTCATATTCTATCTCATTGTCATAGTTAAGTGCTGCTCTTGCAAGTGGATGCCACTGTGTATTCTTTCTTAGAATTCTGGATCCCGCAGCTCTCTGTCTATTAGCATTCAAACGAATTTCATGCGCTTTATCATTTTCTAGAGAAAGCCTTTCTGCTGTTTGCTGTTTGTCAGCATTAAGACGGGATTCCCTTTCCTGATCTGTTTCCTGTGACCGACTGTCTGCTGTTCGCTCTCTCTGAGCATTAAGACGGGATTCCCTTTCCTGATCTGTTTCCTGTGACCGACTGTCTGCTGTTCGCTCTCTCTGAGCATTAAGACGGGATTCCCTTTCCTGATCTGTTTCCTGTGACCGACTGTCCGCTGTTCACTTTCTGTTAGCATTAAGACGGGATTCCCTTTCCTGATCTGTTTCCTGTGACCGACTGTCCGCTGTTCGCTTTCTGTTAGCATTAAGACGGGATTCCCTTTCCTGATCTGTTTCCTGTGACCGACTGTCCGCTGTTTGCTCCGGGCGGCTCATCCAGTAGGCCACGGTAGGACGCCACCTTCCAGGAGGCTCCACATTGTCTCATTGTTCAGTCCCCAAAACTTCTTCCATCGATAGTTCATTAACGGTGTATGTAAGTTCCACCATGTTTTCACTACAACGGTACAGCAAAGTATATTTTTTTTAGCATTAAACTGTTATTATTTTATTGTCTAATCATCACTACATATAACATCATCCATCATCACTACATATAACACCATCCATCACCACTACATATAACACCATCCATCATCACTACATATATCACCACCCATCATCACTACATATAACACCAGCCATCATCACTACATATAACATCATCCATCATCACTGCATATATCACCATCCATCATCACTACATATAACAACATCCATCATCACTTCATATAACATCATTCATCATCACTATATATAACACCATCCATCATCATCACTACATATAACACCATCCATCATCACTACATATAACAACATCCATCATCACTACATATAACATCAGTCATCATCACTACATATAACACCATCCATCATCATCACTACATATAACACCATCCATCATCACTACAAATCGGTAAAGTAGTTTCCGAGATTCTCGTGCAGACACACATACACAGAAACAAACACACACACAGACATACTTCTTTGTTTTATATATATATATATATATATATATATATATATATATATATATATATATATATATATATATATATTGCATTCCGTCAAAATAGAAGAAGAGTTGGCCTTCCTCAGAAGAGCAACTATGATTTTGGTTACACTGCTCAACAACAGACGTCTTACATTAATTGCGTGTCATCCACATACTCATTACTCATAACAATCACTGACCTCCTTACCTCGGTCATCCCTTCTTACAACAACACCCAACACATCAGACTGCTTCACCAGTTTGGAATATAGCACCCTAGGTTATTATAGCACCATCTCACCTCTGTACAGAACCAACTCACCAACTTGTAACACCATCTCACCACGCCCCGGTTACACGCCACACCTACAAGTATGGAACCCCTTGTCATATCTAGACACACATATCAGGCACCTCGTTCGCACACCACTTGGGTAGAGACGAGGGCTCCACCAATAGACATACCAGTACTGTTTCTACACCTGGTATTATAGGTCGCTCCAAGTGATGACCACAGAGTTTCTCAAGCAGCCCATTATGTTTTCCTACTCCTCTGTGGTGATATGCCGGGAATCCACAAGTTCACAGTGGAGTAGCATAGCTGTGAGCAGTCATCTCACATGGTGGGGCAAACACGGGGGTAATGGCCGCCGTTCTGGTGAGTTCAAAACGCGGGGAACTTGTGTTGGTGAAAGAGTAGGCGCAACAAAATAGATGATATTAGGGCCTTGGTATGTACCGAAAAATCGATATAATAGCATTCACTGAAACATGGATCAACCTAGACTCACGTGAGTTGCCGGTCGAATACCAAATTGCGGGTTACAAATTGTTCCATACCGATAGGCAGACCAGGAAAGGAGGCGGAGTAGCAATCTATGTTAGGGATAATATGAAGTGTGAAATAAATAAGGAAATAAAAACTGAGCGGAATACAGAAACAATTTGGATAGAATTAAGCGACGGCAGGGAAAAATTAATCATAGGAGTAATATATAGACCTCCCAATCTTGATAGAGTCAATGAGCGACTTATCTGGGATGAAATGCGCAGGGCTTCCATACACAAGAAAGTCTGTATAGTAGGCGACTTTAACCTTGGCCAAATAGATTGGACTGACCTTACGGGTAACTCAGAATCAGAGGATTTTCTCGAGACGATCCAGGACTGTTTCCTAAGTCAACATATAACCGAACCCACACCGGGTAATAATATACTCGATTTAGTTCTGTCGAACAGAGAAAACCTCATTAGCAATGTCTAGGTAGGGAACGAACTTGCAAACAGCGATCACAAAAAAATTAGATTCCAGTTAGATTTTCAGGGCAGACGTAAGGAAAATTCCACTGAAGTACCAGATTTCAGAAGGGCAAACTTTGACAGTTTAAAGAGGCAGCTGAGAGAGGGGGTGTCGCGCTTGGCAGTGAACCTGACAGATGACTCGGACCTGATAACGAGGTCTGAGATTGCCGAGTTCCACGACAATTTAAATAATGAGTTACTTAATGCACAAAGGCAGAACATACCATACAGAAAACTCAGATCAGACAACAATGACCCTAAATGGATAAATAATTATTTAAAGAGCATCATTGGCCAAAGGAAGGCTATAGGTAGAAGGATAAAGCGTGGCGAAATTTACCTCCAGGATTATTATAAGATATTGGCGAGTAGGGTTAAAACCGAGATAAGGAAAGCCAAGAGGAATAATGAGGTAAGGATAGCAAGGAAGGCGAAGACAAACCCCAAAGGATTCTACCAAATGTATCAAACTAAAACACGAGAAAAGATTGGACCAATACGGTCAGATACCGGCGAGCTCACTGATAACGACGGAGAAATGAGCAATAATTTGAATAAATATTTTTCAACACCGAAAATTTAAACATGATACCCGAGGCACCGACTTATGCCTTATAAATACATATTTTAATCCTAACTTACATACTAAAGTACGGCTCAGGTTTGACAGTTCCTGGGGAAATTAATTGGGCTGTATCATTAACTCAAACCTGTAGCCCGGGTACAAAGGACGCTACCCTGAAACAAAAGCCGCGCGTCGAATGTTCATGGCGTGGGTATATCCACTTCACTTAAAACTGTAATTAGGGATCATCCTCTCACATGCACTACTTGAACACAGACATACGATTCTCTGATCACTGTACATGTCGTGGGTATATGTCACCCGAGGAGACGAGGTGTATTAAGTTCACACCGATGCATACAAGATATTCCCTTTGATATATAGTTTCTGGATCACTTCCAACACTTCACATAGTTTTGATACATTTATCCTTTTTCCAAATCAATGTTCTTATCATAGTTTCATCGGTTACCTGTGGTAACTATGTCCACTAAACGTTCACAGCCGTCCATAGAATGACCTTCCAACACAATCTACATTTAGCTCTTATAGTCCACTACTCTGTACTGGTTGGACTCTCCCAACCACCTTAACGATGCCTTGAGTTCTCCTTAATGCTATGAGTACATACAATTAATATTATATACCCGTAGTTGGGTACAATTCATCAAATAATTCCGTAACATCCATTAGGTGAGTTGTTCTTTATCAATGTTTCCCGTTTTCTGAGATTCTACAAGCGCGGTGGGTTTGAATGACAATGATGTGCGCAGTACAAAGTAACGTTAGGGTGTTTAATCATCAGGAGAAATAAACTAGGAGACCTAATCTTCAAGTGATAAAAATCTTTCAAAAACTTAGGCGTCCTCATGACTCTCAGTATTCACCACGCTCTTGACGACCTCCTCCTTATCTGACCATTGACCTTAACGTAACCTTCTCACAGTTATGGTTATAAAGGTAAAGATCCCCGTGATAATCCACTACAAATATCAATCTACTCGTTATTGATACATTTACTGTGGACAAAAATACTTACTATCGATCATTGTGTGAGTGGCATAATTAGCAAGAGTCTTATCACTGATCTTTGGTTTAATTGTGTTGATTTTTTTCTCTCTCGTATAGGTAAAAGTTTACACTCAATGTGACGCCTTACTCGTGTGATCACCTGAGACATACCTGCTAGCCACACTTCCACAGAATATCCTAAACCTAACCTAACTTCACTCCACAACCAAGATACCACCTACTTGAATTAACTAAAGTCGAAAACACGATCTATCTCTTAATCTCTTCATTATTCTGAAAGTCATGTCCTGTTGCTGTTGGTGATGTTTACGGATATATATTTTTTATTACGAAAGAGGAGCCAAAAACGACGCATTTAATGGTATCATTTTTCATGGGTGAGGTAAGAATATCCCGATATATACAGTAAGTCACTACAATACATCTACAAGAACTTTAATTTTTCAATGTGTATTTTTAAGAAACATTAATCCAGTTCGATAACCCGAAAAAGCATTCTAACCTAACCTAACCAAACCTTACCTAACCTAACCTAACTTGATCACACCTTACCTTACCTAACTTAACCTAACTTGATCACACCTTACCTTACGTTACCTTACCTAACCTTACCTAACCTTACCTAACCGAACCTGAAGAATCGTCACCCCAGCCCACTCTTCAGGTGTTTGGAGGAAAAACTCACTATAGCGTTGTAAAAGACTCCGTGTGTTGGGGAAGAACAGGTTGTGAGGGACAGTAGGAGAGAGGCACCTTGGGAGATGTCTTCCTCCTGCAGGGTAACTCACTCTCTGGCACAGTACACTCACTATCTCACGTCGCCCGTCACTCCCTCCCGTAGCCCGTCACTCTCCCCTTGCTCACTCACAGCTCACAATCTCCATAATGCTCATAGAAAAATCATTCATTTGTACATTGTAGAATTATTCTTCAATATCCACACCTGCTAAAATGTTCTGGCCTGGGAGGCATAAGACAGCCTCATAGTTTTTGGCATCTTCAATAAGGACATTGTTTGGATGGTTTGCGGGTGCTGGCAATAGCGTTCCTAAAACTTCTTATCTCTGACGGGTCGAGGTCACTGACAGTTTGAGAATATTGTAAGATAGGTAACCAAAAAGTATACAGAGGTAACAAACTGATTGGATATAATAATAATAATAATGATGATGATAATAATAATAATAATAATAATAATAATAATAATAATAATAATAATAATAATAATAATAATAATAATAATAATGGTGATTCAGTAAAATCATCATTCAAGTTTACAATTGTTTTGCATGTACAGTATTTATAAACGATGCTGGTATATAATTTATGAAGTGTATAGACAACGCAGATATACGGTATTTATAGTCATAAACCTTGCAGGTATACTGTTTTCGATGTATACAGTACCTATACAGTGCAGGTATACAACAATGGTAAACAGTATTAACGAAAGATAACCAACAAAACCATCAGATGTTTATTTTCAGTATATGTACAGGAATAGATGTGAGAGTTTGTTGATAAATATAACGCTTGGACTGTCTGAGGTGGATAGGTCATTTCAACCACCCCTTAAAATCCTGTGCTGTCGTTCAGCACAACGTTCTCTGTTACAGAGTGAAGTTGAAGACTTATAGTACACTACTCTGTACTGGTTGGACTCTCCCAACCACCTTAACGATGCCTTGAGTTCTCCTTAATGCTATGAGTACATACAATTAATATTATATACCCGTAGTTGGGTACATTTCATCAAATAATTCCGTAACATCCATTAGGTGAGTTGTTCTTTATCAATGTTCCCCGTTTTCTGAGATTCTACAAGCGCGGTGGGTTTGAATGACAATGATGTGCACAGTACAAAGTAACGTTAGGGTGTTTAATCATCAGGAGAAATAAACTAGGAGACCTAATCTTCAAGTGATAAAAATCTTTCAATAACTTAGGCGTCTTCATGACTCTCAGTATTCACCACGCTCTTGACGACCTCCTCCTTATCTGACCATTGACCTTAACGTAACCTTCTCACAGTTATGGTTATAAAGGTAAAGATCCCCGTGATAATCCACTACAAATATCAATCTACTCGTTATTGATACATTTACTGTGGACAAAAATACTTACTATCGATCATTGTGTGAGTGGCATAATTAGCAAGAGTCTTATCACTGATCTTTGGTTTAATTGTGTTGATTTTTTTCTCTCTCGTATAGGTAAAAGTTTACACTCAATGTGACGCCTTACTCGTGTGATCACCTGAGACATACCTGCTAGCCACACTTCCACAGAATATCCTAAACCTAACCTAACTTCACTCCACAACCAAGATACCACCTACTTGAATTAACTAAAGTCGAAAACACGATCTATCTCTTAATCTCTTCATTATTCTGAAAGTCATGTCCTGTTGCTGTTGGTGATGTTTACGGATATATATTTTTTATTACGAAAGAGAGCCAAAAACGACGCATTTAATGGTATCATTTTTCATGGGTGAGGTAAGAATATCCCGATATATACAGTAAGTCACTACAATACATCTACAAGAACTTTAATTTTTCAATGTGTATTTTTAAGAAACATTAATCCAGTTCGATAACCCGAAAAAGCATTCTAACCTAACCTAACCAAACCTTACCTAACCTAACCTAACTTGATCACACCTTACCTTACCTAACTTAACCTAACTTGATCACACCTTACCTTACGTTACCTTACCTAACCTTACCTAACCTTACCTAACCGAACCTGAAGAATCGTCACCCCAGCCCACTCTTCAGGTGTTTGGAGGAAAAACTCACTATAGCGTTGTAAAAGACTCCGTGTGTTGGGGAAGAACAGGTTGTGAGGGACAGTAGGAGAGAGGCACCTTGGGAGATGTCTTCCTCCTGCAGGGTAACTCACTCTCTGGCACAGTACACTCACTATCTCACGTCGCCCGTCACTCCCTCCCGTAGCCCGTCACTCTCCCCCCCTTGCTCACTCACAGCTCACAATCTCCATAATGCTCATAGAAAAATCATTCATTTGTACATTGTAGAATTATTCTTCAATATCCACACCTGCTAAAATGTTCTGGCCTGGGAGGCATAAGACAGCCTCATAGTTTTTGGCATCTTCAATAAGGACATTGTTTGGATGGTTTGCGGGTGCTGGCAATAGCGTTCCTAAAACTTCTTATCTCTGACGGGTCGAGGTCACTGACAGTTTGAGAATATTGTAAGATAGGTAACCAAAAAGTATACAGAGGTAACAAACTGATTGGATATAATAATAATAATAATGATGATGATAATAATAATAATAATAATAATAATAATAATAATAATAATAATAATAATAATAATAATAATAATAATAATAATGGTGATTCAGTAAAATCATCATTCAAGTTTACAATTGTTTTGCATGTACAGTATTTATAAACGATGCTGGTATATAATTTATGAAGTGTATAGACAACGCAGATATACGGTATTTATAGTCATAAACCTTGCAGGTATACTGTTTTCGATGTATACAGTACCTATACAGTGCAGGTATACAACAATGGTAAACAGTATTAACGAAAGATAACCAACAAAACCATCAGATGTTTATTTTCAGTATATGTACAGGAATAGATGTGAGAGTTTGTTGATAAATATAACGCTTGGACTGTCTGAGGTGGATAGGTCATTTCAACCACCCCTTAAAATCCTGTGCTGTCGTTCAGCACAACGTTCTCTGTTACAGAGTGAAGTTGAAGACTGTCAGGAGTGAATTATTTCTGTAGTGGGATTTAAAAACATCTGAACCTACGCTGTAATTATTTGAGGCTACCTGCAGATAGTTGAATAAAGATGAAGCAGCTGTTGTATAAATGGAATTAAAATAGTTTGCAACTTCAAAAGCATCGTGACGGATCATTGTCAACATTTAGCACTACTCTGGCACGTTCTTGTGGTTTGTGGCTGTGTGCAATGGATCACATTTGCTTCCATAGTTTTGTATTATTTATACTTTCCCCATTTTATTATTTTAAGTATTCTGATTTCGCTTTTTTTTACCTCTCTACTTTGTTTCTTATCCTACGAAATTCTCTGTGTAACTCGCCATCAAGTCGGTCTCTTGCGAGGGAGTTGATCTGTGTATGATGGATTCTCATATTTGCCTAGACATCCACGGTTCAGTCCTAGATTTTAATCTTATCTCCTTTAACTGTTCTAAGTCAACAAGAACGACAGTAAAAGTATTTTGATTACCGTATTTTGATGCCGTGTGTTGTGTTACCTTTCCCCCGACTTTTCATCTGCTGCAGTAGGTGATAAAGTGGTCAGTGAGGCCAACAGGAGGGACCAATAGACGCATTTCACCACCCTGTGTGCGACACAAACACCCCCCTCCACACGACTTAATAAAATGTGACTATTAACAAAATCGAGTAACCGGGGAAGAATTATCATTGGCTGGCATTATCATCAAGGGTACCTAGAGTGAGATTCATGACACGCCGTTTTTCATATTTAATCTTCAGCTTTAATCTTGACCTTTGACACGGGTACTTAAATTAGACAGATACCCAGCTAGACAATTCGTTTTGAGCTTAGTCCATTTCAATTCGATTAGGGATTAAATGTGTGTGAGAGAGAGAGAGAGAGAGAGAGAGAGAGAGAGAGTGTGCTTTAGTGTTTGTTATCAGTGGTCATGTGGTCACTATCAGTCGGCAGAGGGAGGCGTGATCCTTTTTTTACCACGGACTGCTGTGAGAGATGGACTGTTCCCGATACCCGACACTGTAGGTTATCGGGAACAGTCCATCTCTCACAGCAGTCCGCGGTAAACAAGTACCCTCTGTAGGGCCTACAGAGATAAGGAAAATGTTGTCACTTTAGTCTGGTCTGTTTTATTTAGGCAGGTATCATATGTTTCCTAACCCAAGTCTATACTGAATAACAATCAGTGAGAAGAATGGGAAGTAAGGTGTTCACGATAATAAAGTTTAAGATCAATTAGACATCGTGTCATGTTTTGATTAAGGGAGTTGTTTTTTTTAGGGAGAAGTGATGGTCCAAACTCCTGTACCGCCATACTTCAGAGCTCTACAATGGTCGCCGATTTATCAGGTGGAAGCTAAGTTTATTCGTCAAGAAATACGGAACTGAGCCCGTAATGCAAATTCATAGTAAATTTATAAATAAAATACTATCGTTGTTAATGTTTATTGAACGTTCAAAGTAACCACGGCACCAAACCTACGTACTTAAAGAACAAACAAATGAGCCTTGGCTTAGATTAGTTTAGGTTTACATTTAATTACGTTTTCTATCACAAACTGACTCAGAATATGAAGGCTTATATTAATAGGGTAACTATAGAATATTCTTATATCCAACTTATTCACATTGCAGTTTAAGGTTAAAACACCGGAGTTACCTATTGGCTACCCAAACTATTATTTTTGTAGTGATGACCAAGCTGAGTTTACTGTAGGCACAGCTCAGTGACATTCGTTGCATAAGAATTATGTTGATCTTCCATTTAATTGAATATTCATATAATAATTTTTTAGAGAGAAGGAAGAAATTAATATCCTACTATAGATTGACAGAAGTTGTGACGAGTTACTACGAAGAATGATGAGACAAATAAAATAAATAACATTATGGGTGTTTATACGCTCGTTAAGTGATTAGATTTTTTTTAAGGGGATTAGCCCACCCGGGCACAGGTCACTGACCCACATCGGGGCCTGGGGGCGAAAATATAGAATACAAAAAAAAAAAAAAAAAAAAGAGTGTGAAACGATGTATGTACAGTATGTTGTGTTGT